GGTGTGAATGGGCCCTAAGACTAACATTAGACCTATAATGAAGCTCCAATATCAGTCAGTTACAAAATAATAGCAATTAAGTAATTAAGTAAGTCAAGGGTTAACTTTGTCAACCCAAGTTTTACTTGCAGTAAGTAGACTTTAGTGATTCCACACAAGGGAAGGTGCTGGAGAGCAGGTCAGCGTGGAGATCCAAATGGCAGGAGTCAGGAACATTGCAGCCTTCAACCTGGAACTCAGGATGGAGAGTGTTGAGGTAAGTAGTAGGTTTTTTTTCTGCCAGGATGCCGACGAGAGGACATCACACACAGTTCAAATTCCCCCTGTAGCGACGCCACTGCTTATAGTTAGATTGAGTGTTACAGTTACGGTTGGATTTGTTTATCTTTATGGATTTTTTTTGCATTTAAATGTCTCATAAGAAGTCTACATGGTGAAATCTGATGACAATCTTGAACACAATTTGGAAAAGGTGAAACTGGTCATTTGTTTTAACAAAATCAAGTTTGCCTAAATAGTTCACACATCCCTAATGATGATGAAGGATGTGTCATGATTTCAACATCAATAATAGGTATACTTCATGCTATGTCACCAGTTGTTGGTATTATCCATGTAAATTATACTGTTGTGGTAAATTAGAACATGATGTTGTGTACTAAATTGTACATCACTTTCCGCTGAATGTTAAAAGTAATTTAAAGTCAATGTGGACCTAACATGACATTTATGTCATATATTGACCCACATTGTATACAGTAATCTGTCTTTAAAAATCACTGGAGGCATTGAAAACCTTATTCTCCTATAGATTCACTATGTTATATGGAAATGTTAATTGTGCCTAAGTAAAACCATTTCAAGACTTTTTTTGTCTAGGCGTTTTGTCTAGAATTCCTCCTGTAAAGTAGGTATGTAAGGGTACCTAGGTCACCCTATGCTTTCAGTCTTGTAATGTAGTTTTCTATCTGTAGTGTGACTCTAAGGCACTGCTGCCTCTAACTGCTAGTCTCAGGAGATTTGGAGTGAGATTTAGTAATCTGACTACTGTGGTGCCCACTGTTCTCCTTGCTGCAGGCTCTTAGATGAGGAAGGAAAACCCCACCTCTATTAACATTGCTGCCTCTACACAGAGACACAGCGCAGAACAAGTCATGGTAAATCAGTAATGGGAAAAAGTTCAGCTTCAGGGAGACCACAGACAATACTGGTGACTAGACCTTAGCATTCCAACTGCTTTCAATGTGCAGTTCCTATTTAAAATATCTAAAAAGTAGGCAAACTAAATAGACTTTACACATCCATGTGTAACCTTGTTGCAAGCACACTTGCCACAAGCAAAAATATACTGCCTTATATTATGCAATCTGAATTTGTTATTTTTTGTGTGGTATTTTTGTTGAATTGCTCTTGTTCAAATTACATGGAAGACCAAAACATGGTACATGACTTTATATTTCTTTTAATATCTGACTTCCAGTTATATAGTTCTGTGTATCAGTAAATAGCACAAGAAGAATATTGTAGGACAAGCACAAAGCTTCCTTAAACAGCTTATTTTTTAAGGATAAAATACAGTCAGCATTGTTATTATGAGCCTGTACCAAAGTACAATTGTAACTTGATGAAAATTATGCTGGTTATTGTAAACACAATTGTTAATGTACTGCTATGCACCTAACTAACATGAATCAACTGGAAATGTATTTCATTTTTTCTGTGTGGCTACCATTATTCCTTGCAATGTCATAACTGTGCAGGTCTCACTGAGGGAAAAAAAACACTGCTATAATTAAATAATTATTGCATGCAGTCCAGATGGTGAGTTGAACATAGACATATTGGACATTTAGTAACATCAGAAAATAGTAATTCATTGCAGTGAATCAAGACATGTGCCTGTGTTGACTTCACACATCCAGGCTTAAAATCTGCTGCACATGATTGAATCTTTGAAATGAACACAGATTCTCTTCACTGTACTTCTCCATACTTTACCTTGCTTCATTTACCTACATCATTTTCAAGAGTATCCTGTGCACAAAAAGAGTTTTTTGCTTTGAATGCAAAATATGAAACTTAGGGGTCTATTCACGAAGCAGTCGAAGGATCTAGCTGTAGCTTCGGCCGATCCTTCGGATAGCTTCGGCCCCAGGAACCTTTCGGTTCCGTAGAACCGAAGGGCTGCTGTATGGGCTATTCACTATAGCCCGTACAGCTCCCGAACTTGGCCGAGCGGCTCAGTCGAGCCGAACGCATATGGCTCGGCTCGGCTAAGCTGCGCTGACAGCCTGCTTCTAACAGCTGGGCGGAGCCAGCCGCGATCTTACAGCTGGCTCCGGCCACTTGCAGAGAGATCAGCGTCCCTGGGTACCAGCTAACCAGGGACACTGATCTCCAGACAGCAAACTCTCCCTGGCGCTACGGGAGTCTCCCGCTCCCGGCCGCCCAGGAGAGAAACACTGCTTTTTCTTTTTTTTTCTTCGGAGCCGTGTCAGAATAGAAAAAAACAAAACATGTTTGGTCATAGGAATGCAGAGTGTCAGAATAAGAAAAAAAAAGAAAAAGCAGTGTTTCTCTCCTTGGCGGCCGGGAGCGGGAGACTCCCGGAGCGCCCGGGAGAGTTAGGCTTTTTTTTCTTTCTTTTTTTGGCGGCAGCAGAACCGCCGTCCAATAGAAAACTGTTGGGCGGAGCTAGCTGTCATTGCTAGCTCCGCACAATCGTTTTCTATTTTAATTTTTCTACTTTTTTAACAGTTTTTCTGTTCTGCTCGGTCCCACAGAGAGACCGAGCAGAACAGCTCGGCGGCATTTGGCTATTCACTCACTGCTGTTCGGCATCTATGAGAATAGACCGAACAGCAGCGAGTAGCCTGCCGGAGGTTCGGCTCAGCCGATCCAGACGTTAGATCGGCTGAGTCGAACTCCTTCTGCACTTCGGGTGGCTTTGCGTGGCAAAGCCACCCGATGTACGCCTGATTTCAGCCAATATACGGCTAAAATCAGCCGTACCAAACTGAAGTGAATAGCCGAACAGCGTGAATAGTGAATAGACCCCTTAGTTTCACTATTTAATTTGAATAAATACCTTTTTGTAATTAGACTATACTTCTTTACAAAATGAAGTAAATTACTTCTGATATATATTCTTATTTTAAACTAGAGATAATAAGCCCCCAAATACTGCATGATAAAATTACATTTTATGTAACTACTTCCTATGTATCCTAAACCATCGTTTATTTATTATTTATATTAAAGACTGACCCATTTTAGTGTGCTTATACATAGTAATCTGTCTTGAAAAAAAATAATGGAAGCATTGTAACCAGTGTACTGCACTCAGGGCTGCCATTAGAAATCTTGTGGCCCCCTGCATCCTACATGACCTGGCCCCCCTCCTGACTAAATAGCGCACAGCGGGATGCTGCAGCATGCCCCAATGTGCAGGAGGAATAGAGCAGAGGTTCCCGCTCTTAGTGAGACCAAGGCCCAGTAGTTTTCTTCCAAAACCTTCCTTAAAGTGGAATTAAAGTAGTTAAAAATAGAGCTTTGGAGGTGATTGCCATAATGTGCTAGTATGCACAGCATATTAGCACATTATGGCTGACGTACTTGCAGACAATGCCCTTCTACATTGCTGTCTGCTCTCCCCTCTGTTGCTGGCACTGCCATCTTCTCCTGGTCTTCTTCCGGGTTCTTTGATTGGCTGGCTGGCATAATGTAACTCCTGCGTCCCCTGGTTACCTGGTAACCAGGGGACGCTGATCTGTCATTGCAAGTGGCCAGAGCCAGCCGTGAGATGACAGCTGGCTCTGCCCAGCTGTCAGTAGCAGCCTTTCAGCCGGCCAATGGCCAGCCATTCAGCCAGCTTCAGATTTCACCTCGGCTAAGTGGAGCCGAAGCATATGCCGTCGGCTCGACCAAGCCGCTCGCCCAACTTCAGGAGCTGTACAGCCCGTACAGTATAGCCCGTACAGCTCCTACTGAACCGAAGGGCTCTCATAACCGAAGCTAGCCAAAGGATCAGCCGAAGCTTACGGCTGGATCTTTCGGCAGCTTTCTGAATAACCCTCTAAGTTTTCTCAGTTTCACACTCAAAGTATAAGTAAACCTAATCACTAAAATCTCATAAAAGCTTTAACATGTTAATTTAATTTTTAAGTCATATTTTTAAACCTGTAGCTTTACTCAAAATAATACCTGGTAATCCTGCCGTGGAAGCTCTTGTTCATGCACTCCCTCAAGTGACAATACTTTGTCCCTGTCTGCCAGTTGTGCTCCTGCATCATCACCCTGTTAGACAGGCATCCAATGGAGACAACTGGTGAAGATTTTAACACACAATATCCAAGGATAGTCCACTGTTGCTGCCATCAGGAACGCAGCCATGAGAAATGCCATGCAGCCATCACTAGAATGCACTGGCATGCATGCAAAAAAGGCTGCAGTTGATCAGCAGCATTGACATGCCTCAAAGCATAAAAAGGTAAAATCAGTATTTTTATTTTTTGATTATGATACAGAGTGCTTTAGCAAACTAAATGCCATTCAGTTAGGATTTACATCTACTTTAATCACCAACTTTAACACCTGAAACGAAATTATGGCTAAGCTTCAAAATGTGCATTTAGTCTGTGCAAATTCACAAGAAAATGTTTTATTATCAATTTTGAGCATTCCAAAAAAATTACACATAATGTAATCAGAGTGCTAAAAGTTTAGTAAATCACTTTCAATTGAAAAAAAAATTAGCATGCGAAAAAGGCCAAACTAAGACATGCAAACTCATTTCACGCTCTGGTGAATCAGGTTGTATGTCTAAAAAATTCAGGCTGGGATTTTGTACATGTGCTTCTTTTGTCAATTAAATGTTTTACCATAAAGATGATAATGATGTTTTTTAGTATTGCTATATCATTGCACTTGGTCATTGCAAAGTATTAGCAAATAAAATTTCACATTAGTTACATCTTAAATTATGCTTATTTTTCTTCTAGGCTTACCATCAATGCTGAATGTCAACTTCAGCTGCACAACTTTCCTATGGATGAGCATTCCTGCCCACTCATATTCTCCAGCTGTAAGTATTCAGTCTGTGTCAGACCGATATTCCCTGGTTGAGAGATTTTATGCAATGTATCATTTGATATGAATGCCTTGGCTATAAAGTGCCGTGTTTGCAATACATTGTAAGCTTCTTGTGCTGCTTGCTTGTATATTCATATATAGTATGATCTATTTGACACTGCAGTCAGTTTACATTTTCAATGTTTAGCTTTTTCTGGTTTTGTCAAATACATTTGCAGATTTTTACTCAGGGCAATTATAATTAGAGATATCTGCTAACTTTTAAACAGTAATTTTCTATAGGTACTATACGAGTTGTATTTTGTTTTGCAAATGTAAGTAGGTAATATTTTATCTAAAATGTTTTACATAGTCAGACACAACACACTTCATCCTGAAACTCTTTTATATTAAGTATCTTTAAAGGAGAACTATGGGGTTAAGGCTTTTCCCCATAGTTCTCCTTAGGGTAACTGGAGGACACAAACTAGCATCCTCCCGTCACCTCAAGCTCAGTATACCGCGAGCTCCTGAGACGCCGCAGCTGAAGCGGATCCCGACAATTATGTCTGGATCCGCCCCGCTGCGTGAGTGACAGCTGGCTCTGCCTATCTAGCGGCAGAGCCAGCTGTCACTCACGCAGCGGGGCGGATCCAGACATAATTGGCGGGATCCGCTTCAGCTGCGGCGTCTCAGGAGCTCGCGGTATACTGCGCCTAGGGTGACGGGAGGACGCTAGTTTGTGTCCTCCAGTTACCCTCAGGAGAACTATGAGGTGAGTTAAAAACACTCACCTCATAGTTCTCCTTTTAACAGAAATATAAAGTTAGAAGAAAATATTTCCTATCAAGGACATATGGGGTGGTATGCTCAAAATATGTGGGAAAATATAATAATCTTGCTCACACTATTACACAACACTTGTCGTTAACCTCATGTCTAAATACCTCTGTTTCATTTATGATATAAAACAGGCCTACACATGGCCAAGAAAGATTTTTAAATGCTGAATAATTTCATACATACTAAACTTAGGACCATTTAACACAGGGTCAACACAACAAAAACTGATAGCTTAGTGAGATGAATTTAATGGGTGAATCACCACTGGTTTCTCAGTTACTCCAACTGTAAAAGTTCCCCCAAATGTCACTAGTGTTGACCCCCTATGCTACACATCTTTCACACCACTGGCAGCATTCTCTGTAATAAAAAATAAATGGACAGTACAAGAAGGCAGTAAGACTCTTTCGGAACAACAAATGGAGATCCTGTGTACTGAGCAGTGCAGAGATCCAGTTCATCAAGATGTACTATAAATAGAGCCACGGGGCAATCAAGTCTACGTAAAACTCAAACCGTGCTTTTTGGTTTACAGGGTCAAACGTCAGCAATGATTGAATAACATTTCATATTGACTGGTCAATATGTACATCCATATGCACATACTAAATTATAAATAGTTGTGTTCAATCTCATTAGTTTCTGTGCACTCATATATTTGATTAAATATGCATTTAGCTAACTTGTATACCTCTATTTTATAATTATATGTGATAGTTAAAATGGTATTGGTTGATATTAGACAATTATTCCCATTGCACCCTCTTGTGTATAAAGCAGTGTGTACTTTTGTGTGTGTCTGTTAAACTAATAAATAGAAATGTAACTTTTGTAATGATTTGTTCAGACTGATAAGATATTTATAGCTGAAGTGGCTCTCTTTTGTTTAATGGAACCATTCATTAAAATATATTGTGATTGTGAGGGCAGGAAGATTTTTGGCATTTCCTGAATGCTAAAAGTAAAATCATGCAGTTGCTTTATGAATGGATATTTTAAGAACTGCAGCTTGGAATATATAGTGGTTCAGTGTCTAAAAGGTCTATGTCAGCTTGAGTACAGCATCAACACAGCAGCTTGCATGCACTTTTAAGGTTTTGTTAGCTCTCTATATTGTGAAGTAGAAGTTTTCCATTAGAGGCTGAATTGAAATCAAGGTGTTCTTTGAGATTGCCTCCCCACTACACCCACTACCATTTTTATCTAGGCTCTGTTAATGCTGAACTCTAGAGCACAGATCTTAAAAGGATGGAGAACCAGCAATGGTCAGAAGCAGGTTGTAGCTCAAGATTTTGTGCTTTATATATTTTATTAATATGTTAATATACACCTCTAACTATATTTAATTGTGAACAATTAGCAAAATGTTGGTAGCCGGTAAAGGAATGATCTAAATGTAGAAAACACTTTTCATAACACAATATGGTATGGTACAGTATATAAGATACTGGAAAATAGGATTGCAAAAATTAATGGAATTTAGCCACTAAGCATTATAATAACCCACAGATTCAGTTTAATTCAATTATATAATTCAATAATAAGGAATGGCATCATACATGACGTACAATATTTTGGATAAAATATTGCTTTCATATTATAGCACAATATCAAATGCCAAGAGGAGTTATATACTGATCAAATCAAGCTGAGCTTAAAATATTTCTCATCTATCAAATATATAGCCTTTGGCAGAGAGATAATACAGATTATACAGCCTTTTGAAGGCTGTCTAAATGTAAAAGTGTCTGGAAAAAAGAAATAATATGAAATTGAAAAAAAAGTAAAATAAGTAAACAGTCTATGAAAATGAAACATACAATAGTAAAGATATTATAGTGATAAGTATTATAATCATAGAGTGTTTGATTGTGTTTTAAATAAATATAAGCTGCAGGGAGAAAGCTAGGAAAAAACAAACTAAAAAAGTTTTGTAACCTAAAGTATGTATTATTTTCTAAGTCAGTCATTGTAAGTCTGTGGAAAAAAAATGCATTTAATTTTATAAAATACAGCAAGTCAAGACAAAGAACAAGGATAATATGAGCATACAGTAACCCTTGAGCAACCAGTAAGATTGAACTTTTCCGCATGATTGCTGCAGGGTATTTCATGTTACACATCTTTATTGCTCTTTGTATTATCATCTCTAAAATGCATTTCTATATTCTGTATATAAAACAATAGAGATTTAGAGAGAGCCACCAGCAATAGTCCCTACTCTGAGCTACAGCTAACTTGGTCAAACAGAAAGCTCAAGTACAGTATACACAAATGCTATAAAGCATGTCTTATCATGTTACTGCATTGCAACAAAGCCTGTCATCCTTGGGTATCCTTTGAACATTCCACCACTAAGTTTTCCCAGGGCACTCATAAAATAGGAAGGTAACACATATCTTTTTATTTAGTTTAGTATTAAAGAAAGAGTTGGCACCAATGGAGGAGCAACCCACAAACTAGAAAGAGCTATAACACTGCATATTACACAGTTGCTTCTGTGGCTTGGGGTAGCTGTATAGTAGCCTGGGGTTATGAATCCCTTAATGTTATAACACATTTTGGGGAAAGCAATAGGTGTCCAGCTGAAGTTGGAAGTCATTTTAGAAATCTCATCTTAAAAACAAACAACTTGTTTTAAGTCCATTAAAGTGTGTGGCAACGCCTAATATAGAATGCAGGACGTCTCTGTAATACATGCACCTTTTTCAATGTTGCATCCCTTTAAAGACGCTGCAAGTACAGAAAAATACCAGTTGATGTGCCATAAATGCATTCAGCTTCAAATTACTTGTGAAGTGCCAACCCACGGCATTATTGTTGACTGGATGGTGTGAGCCCTGCCAGTTGTCTTTTGCTAAACTTCTAAATCTCTTCCTCTATCCTAATCCCCACAACATAGAAACAAATTGTTCTGTAGACAAAGATAAAAACCAGGGCATCTAATTACACTTCTTAAGATAACCATGGAAATGTGCCCAGGATACAGGACAGCTCAGAACTTCTGACAGATATTAGACAGACATAAAAAAACACTTTAAATTGTATATTTAACAGACTAAAAGGGGCAAATAAGAGAAGTTCATTGTTATGTTTTACATATTCCTAAAAGTGTACCTGTGTTGTTATGGTCCCTAGAGTGAAATCAGTATTCTTTTCCCAAACTAATGAAAATGTTCACACTTAGGCTTAAATCTCCCCATCCCCAAACACATATAAAATTGAACCAATGCAGAAGTTCTGAAAAAACCTATGGTAAATAATGAAACTTTTCCACTCAGGGTAATGATATTTAGGTTCTAGCATAGTAGAAGAATTATGTCATCAGTTTGCTTTGAGAGGGGCAGTTGTCCTTCCCCTAGTGACTACTGTTCATTGTATTGTTCTGGCAGTTCAAGTTATAAGGCAGCAATAGGAATAATGTGTGTGAGACTGTAATTGATTTTTACACTGGCAGGCCAAAGAGTGAGAGTCAACAAAACATATGTATATATAGAAAAGATTTTTAGATGAACAAGTCATGGATTTAGAGGCAGCAGTGGTGGGTGAAGCGGTTAATAACATTTAAGTCAGCACCTTAGACCAGCAAATGCTGTAGATGTTGATCCTGAATGATGATCATGGTATGAGGTAAAATGCTTGTTTTGTATAACACTTAACAGCATTCACTAAAAATGGGAAAAAAATATGTCAGCTGCACTTTAAATAGGAAGAAAGATTTAGATGGATTGTATCAAGTTAACGTGCTTTGTGATAAAAGACTATAACTGTATTTATTGCTCTGATAAGGCATTCTGGCAGTAGATAAATAGAACGATGCTGTGGTGATCTTCTATATAAAAAATGACACAGAGGCAGGTATAAATGATTGAATCATTTCACATTGAGGTACTGGTGTTGTGCTCACTCTGGGTCATTGGAAAAATAAACCAAAGTTTCAATATGGTCTCCAGCGATTAAACAAACACCACACTGTGTGTTGGAAACAGCAAGGAGATAACCTCAACATGCACTAAACATCTGAGATACATGTCAAGATTAAAAAAGGTGTGATCAGTGGAAAAGTATATCCCATTTACAGTTTTTTCTTGCTTAAAAGCAAAGCTATCATCAAATTTTTTAAAAAAAGTATAAACAATGGATCAGGGGCGTAACTAGAAATCACAGGGC